TGGCAGGAGGAGGGGGAAGGGCGCCGGGTCAGGGCCCAGAGCCGAGGTGGCTCCTCCTCGACCCCAGACCCCACATCCTGGTGCCGCTGGGGGAGGAGGGAGATAGGAAGTCAGGAAGGGATGGTCCAGATCACATAGGACAAGCACAGAGGCAAAGTTGGAATGAAGATGGATGAACCTAGTGGGAGGAGGATCCGGAAAGAGTTCTAGAGAGAGAGCCCAGGGGTCTAGAGAGGAGGAGCAGAGGTGGTATAGGAAACTTGAAGACAAGTTGAAATTCAGAAATAAAGACTAGATGGGGGATGCACAGGCTTTCCCAGGTGGTACTAGTGGTAAAGAACCCACCTGCCAATGCAGGAGATGTAAAAGACATGGGTTTGACTCCCGGATGGGGAAGATCCCCTGGAGGGGGGCATGGCAACCCACCCCAGTATTCGTGCCTGGAGAATCCCATGGACAGAGAAGCCTGGCGGGCTACAGTCCATGGGGTCACAAAGAGTCAGACATGACTGAGCAACTGAGCGCACACACAGGAGTGCAAAAAGCCGAGGGTGGAGTGGGGTGAGCTCTGTGGGGTTGCCACCCAGGAGTGCTCAAGACCCTATTGTGTCCAGAGGGAATTCGGGGGTGGAGAGAGGAGCCTAACAGCTGGGTTGATAGTTCTAGAGGCTGAAGAGTGGCACAGCAAGATAGATGATTAAGCTAGAGGACAGGGAGTGGGACAGAAGCACAGGTGATAGAGTTGAGTACTGGTCACTGGAGGACACGCTACGGAGCTGGGGATGGTGGGAACTAGGAGCTGAGATGGACAATGGAGACAGGGGCTCACAGCAGGGCTGAGTAGATGAGAAGATGGATGATGGAACTGCTTGTGATGGAGTCAGAGGTCAGGTGATCATGCTGGGGTCTGGATATTGGAGAGAGAGTGGGTTTGGGGGAGCCCCAGTCTCACCAAGATGGGCACTCCTGTGAGGGAGTCATAGAGAAAGACGATGGCGCTGACCAAGTTGGTGACCTGCAGAGATGTCTTGGCCGACTCAGAGCCGTCCAGCGAGGACCGCCGCTTCCCCCGGGCATCCTCCACTACAATGGCTGGCACCTCGAAGGCCGGACGGGTACCCAAGCCCCCTGGCCCACCCCCCCTGGACCCACCACCACCCCCCGCTCTCCGGGCCTGCCGAGCCCTCCGGGGCCGGGCCCACAGCGTCTGGTAGAAGGTGATGGCCACACAGACTAGCCCCATGACGATTCCCCCAAGCAGCAGGAGGCTGAAGCAGACGCCAAAGCCCAGGCCGATCTTGGAGACGATGAACTGGCAGCCGCGGGCGTAGTAGCGCTCTCCATTGTTGTGCCAGCCAATGGAGGGCAGGGTGGAGAGGATGAAGCTGACCATCCATATGCCCATGACGGCGTGCAGTGCCTGCTTCTTGGCGTTGCTGAGGCGGTAGTTGACAGGCCAACGCACCATCCACATGCGGTGGTAGGAGAGGGAGGCCACCGTGAAGCAGGTGGCCAGGGCCAGCGTGTAGTAGGTGGACACGAAGACCTTGCAGATGCTCTCGTTCCAGTCATAGTCGGAGGAGGCCTGGCGCCGCAGCTGCACCACAGCGAAGGTGGTGAGGGGCACGGCCGCCATGAGGATGTGCGTGCCCGCCAGGAAGCAGAGCAGCAGCTCCAGGGGCTTGTGCTTCTGCTGCTTGGCCGAGATGCTAAGGATGATCCAGGCATTGGCCAGCAGTGCCAGCAGCCCGCAGGCCAGCCAGGACAGCGCGTTCGAGCGGAGGGAGGCCTCCTCTGCCCCCGCCCCGCCCCGAGCCATCCTTCCTCGGTCCCCCCACCCCCCTTGAACTCCTGGGGGTGGGGGCTGGGTCTCACCCAGGAGCCCCGCTCACACGCACCCCCATGACGCCCACAGTCCTTGCCCCGGAGTGAGGTGGGCCGCCCCTAGGCCGCCCCTCTTGCCCAGCATTGCATGAATGACCCAGCTGAGGTCCTGTGGGGAGGGCGGGGGAGGAGACTGAGGGTCAGCAGAGGTGGTCCTCAGCCTCCATGTTGGGTGGGGCCTTTCCAGAAGTATTCTTCTCGTTAACGGGGAGACAAGCTGATAGCTCCCCTACTAGGAAATTGGCTGGGGAGCCCCGGTCCTCATGCCAGGACTTCCAGCTCTCTTCTTCCTCTGATTCTTGACCACTCCGGGTCTTCTGGATGCCCCCAAGGATCCTGGGGGTGGTGCTCAGCCTCCTGGACTCACTGCAAGGGAGAGATGAGGTGTGGAAGGGGCAGAGCCTGAGCTGGCCTCCAAGTGGCTCTGAATCCCCCCTTCTCTCGAAATGAGAGAAACGACTGGTTACTCTGGGTCACAGGGTCGTTCAGAACACTCTCCTGCCCTAAACCAGATGGTCACTCCAACACCCCACACGGATAAGAGCCCTGTCTTCCAGACCTCCAGGAAAGAAGGTATTCTGACTTCCCATCTCCCATCCATCGTCAGCCATTTTTCCTCCCTCCCAGGTCCCTCTTTCTGTCCTCTGCCCAATACTACCCAACCGCTATCTTCACATCCCCGAGTCTCTCCCCAGAGCCTCGTTGGCCGAGGCACGACTTGTTTCTTCCCGAGGGCTCACGGGAAACTGGGATAGGGTGTACGGCCCCTCCCCCGCTTTCCAGACTCCTGGATCCAGGGGTCCTGATGCTCTGCCCCATCTCCCCAGCCTGCACGATCACCCTCCCACTCACCGGGGATCTGGGAAGACGGGAAAAAGGGGGCAGGGACTGAGTGGGGGGGGGGTGGTTAGGGAACCCAAAGGCAGGGAAACCGTGACATCAGAAGCATCCAGAAATGGAAAGAGGGGGAACCAGGGGAAGGAGGAGAGTTTGAGCAGAAGAGAGAGAAAGAGGGGGCAAAGTGATAGTATCTGAAAATAGAAGGAAATGCAAGACCCCTGGAGAGGCGGGGGTGGGTGGAGGGAGGGAGCAGGGGGGAGGGAGGCTGAGAAGAAAAGCCTGGTGTTCAACGAGGTTCTGACTCCCCCCCACCCTGTGGACCCCCACTCTTTCCTCCCCTGCCCCAGCCTCCGTCTTACTCTGACGGGAAGGAAGGTGTCCTGGATGTGTTGACTCGGAGCCTTACTGAGCCCCGGCGAGGAGGCTAAGAGGAAACCCTGGATAGAGTGGAAGCAGGAAAGATGGGCATAGCGGCTTTGGGGTAAATGGAGTAAAAACGGGGTGCAGCAGTGGAAGGTCTGTTTCCTGTAGACCCTTGCCCCCTCCCCCAGAGGTCCTTCGTCCATCCCCCACCTTTGTCTTCCCTGGGAGCCCAGTACACCCTAGTTGCCATGGCAATGGCCAGCCAGAGGAAGATAGAGGGAATTGGTCAGGAGCGCCCCCCCCCCTCCGCTACAGCTTTGGACCCCTTCCCACCCACCCCCACCCATGCCCAGAGGGTGGGCTCGGGAAGAAACAGCGGGGACTCAGAGAGGGAGCCAGGCAGGAAGGATGTGAAGGACAGAGAGAGGAGGTGAAGGACGGAGAGAGATCAGAGGAAGGTGGGAGGGCGTGCGGAGGGACTCCGGGGCGGACAGGGGTCCCTTGCCCTTCGGGGTGAAGGGGTAAGGTCAGGCGGCTCCTCCCTCCTGCCTGCCACCCACCGCGGTCTCCAGGGCAGAGACAGCAGGTGGCCGGGGAGGAGGGGCCAGACGGAGGGGAAAGGAGCCGGGGGGGGGGGGGGGGTGCGGGGAGAGAGGAGGGAAGCCCGCGGAGAAGCGGGCCGGGGTCGCCTTACCTCGGGCTGCGCCCAGCACTGCTATGGAGACCGCACACCCGAGCGACGCGGCTCGCCCGGGCTCCCGCCGCCTGCCGGCTCCAGCTCGCCGCCCTCAGTCCTCCTCCCTCCTCCCCCCGGGGCCTCCCTCCTCCCGCCCGTCCCAGCCTCTCGGCTCGGCCCCCTAGATGCCCGCCGGCCCCTCTCTCCCGGGGTCCCGCCACTGCCCGCAGCCCCGGGTCGGGATGGAGGCCAGCCCGGGGGGACCGGGGCGAGCGCGGGCCGGAGGACCGGACTGTGGAGACCTGGCGCGGGAGGGGCTAGGCAGGTGCCGGGAAGGAACCGTCTCATTGGTGACCCGGCTCGAGTCCTGCCCCCACCCCACCCAGTTTTCCCCCCGGCGAACTCAGGCTCCGAGAGGCCGCTGGTATGGCCCCGGGAGGAGGACGCGTGTGTCACCCAGTGTATCTTTAAGGGCTGTTCCCAGGATGAGGGCTCACGCGGGCGTGTGCTGGAGGCTGCAGGAGTGAGGGGCGGTGGCCATGCTGGGGCTGTTTGTGGGATACGGGTGGCGGGGGGACAGGGGGCTAGAAGGATGCACCTCCCCCCAATATACCGCTGCCTCCTCCTGGAACACAAACTCACACTTGTGTGGGGGACACACAGTTTTCACGCACACGTCGCAGTTTCTCACGTGGCGCGCGCACACACGGCCCCTGCAGTCTCTCCTCTTCGGTGGAACACACACAAGCACGCACACTCAGGGCCCTGTGGGGTGGGGAGGTGGCTGACCACCTCCAGAGGGTTTTTCCCTCCCCAGGGAAACTTGGTCTGCTTCTTGGGGGCAAACCTGACAACCTGTCCTCTGGGTCTGACCCCACAGATCAGAAGATTCCAGATCCCCAGGAAAGAGTCCACCTTTGCCTCCCCCTCAAAGGTTCCATCCCTGGGTGGGGAAGATCCCCTGGAGGAGGGCATGGCACCTCACTCCAGTATTCTTGCCTGGAGAATCCCATGGACAGAGGAGCCTGGCAGGCTACAGTCCATGGGGTCGCGAAGAGTAGGACACAACTGAAGAGACTTGGCATGCAATGTCTCCCCCACCCTTCTCTTTCTCTCTCTCTTTCTCTCTCTCTTTCTCTCTCTCTCTCTCTCTCTCTCTCTCTCTCTCTCTCTCACACACACACACACACACACACACACACACACATACATAAATGAAGAGCATCTTCCTTAAAGTTAAGTCTGTTGTATTTTTCTCTCAGCTCAGGGAGGCAGGGGTGGGGACAGGTCATGAATATAAGCAAGCCATGGGGACCCCTGTCGACAGCTGGGTGTTCTTTCTCAAAGAGGCAAATTGGAAGGAAAAGAAGGGAAAAGGGTAGGGATTGCAAGAGGTGATGAGAAAGCTAAGGGTGGAGAGTGGGGCAGGAGGAGGCTTGGGATACTGAGAGAAATGGATCGAAAAGAGGAAGAAGAAGAAAACTTGTAACCCTGAGATTTTCTTGTATCCTGAGTCATTTGGGAGAAGGAAGAAGGGGGTGCAGGGTGGGGAGACTGAGGCCCAGGGGTATCATCCTTCACAGGAGGCGCCCTCAGAGGGCTCAGTTTCCAGCCAGCTTCCCACCTCTCCCCTGGGCAAAACTCACCTTCCAGAAGGTTCTGAGAGGGTGAGTAGTGGTCAGTGGACACCCTCTCCCACAGGGCCTGTGCCCTGATTAGGAGAACTGCAGGTTTTGTTCCCTGGTAACAGGATTCTGCAGCCAGCAGGGGACGAAGGAGGGATTCTAGACAGGGAGGCCCTCCTGCCTGATCCTGAACTCTCTGAGGCAAACTCCCTGCCAGGAAGGGCTCCCATGGAGGGACAAGGGACATACCCGGCATCTGTGACCAGCCAGCTGCAGAGACCTGCGTGGTATTTTCCCTCTGTTCAAGAGATAGAAGTGGAACTAGCAGTCAAGAGACCTGGGCTAGTCCACATACTAGCTGTACCTCTCTGTCTTCTGTTTCTATAAACTGGAGATGCTAGTCTCGGTCCTGTCATTACCAGCCTTGCAGAATTTTCGTGAGGCTGAAATAGACATTGTTAGTCATTCAGTCATGTCCGACTCTGCAACCCCACGGACAGTAGCCTGCCAGGCTCCTCTGTCCATGGGATTCTCCAGGCAAGAATACTGGAGTGGGTTGCCATTTTCTTCTCCAGGGGATCTTCCCAACCCAGGGATCAAACCCCGGTCTCCTGCACTGGCAAGCAGATTCTCTAGCATCTGAGCCACCAGGGAAGCCCATAGACAAACAAAGAAACTGGTTTGTATATAGAGCTGTGCTGCTGGGGCGATAAGGAATCACATCTGTGAACAAGTGTGCCCAGGGTGCCTGTTTGTGCCCAGGTCAGGATGTGGTTCTGCCAAGGCAGAGTGAGATGCAGCAGAATGAAATGCTGCTGGCGGGCAGTCAGGAGGAACCTTTGGATCTGAATCTGTCCTTGACTAGCTTGTGATCCTGGGCTAGTCCCTCCTCTCTCTGGTCCCAGGGTCCTCTCCCCGTACAATGACAGTCTTGGGCTTCATGCTGCAGACACCCAGCCTCATCCTCCAGGCCAGGCTGGGCTGGTCCCTTGTGCTGCCCGGGATCTGAGCCAGTGGTGAGGGAGTGAGTGGAGAGAGAAGTCATCAGAGAGGGGTTAGAATTGGAGTAGAAAGAAAATGGGGAAGAAGGGGCGAGCATCTGGAAGAGCAGACCCAAGGCGACCTCGACCAGGAGGGCGGGAGGTGGCCAGAGGGCCCGGCTACATTCATCTGGTCCCCAGGCCCAGGGGCCCGATAGGAGATGCGGGGGTGGGGTTGGGGTTGGGGGGTGGCGGAGCCAGGTGTGGAGGTTGCAGGTGAAAAACTCCTGATCCGGGCCTCAGGTGAGATTATAGGTCTTCTGGAGCCGGCTGGAGGGACGAAGAATAAGAAGAACAAGTCTGTGCCTCCCAGCCCTTTGCTTTCCAGCCCTCTGTGGTTCCCAGAGCCTGCTTTTCCCTCCCAGCCACATCCCAGGCCCCCTACCCCTCACCTGGTCCTCCATCCTCCAGCCTGCTTCCTGCCTCCTGGGCCATCCCCACCCGCTTCTCTCCTCTGCACAGCCTCCCTCTAGCCTGCATCTCCTTCCCTCCTCCCTTCTCCACCCTCCCCTCCCTCTCCGCTCCCCCTCCCAGTTCCTTACTGGGGGCACTGGCAGGTCTTCTTCTCACTAAGGAGCCTCTTGATTTGAGACATCCGTTCTGCCTGGCGCTGTCCAGGGAGAAGGAGGCGAGTTGTGAGGGCCCTGGGCCTCTGAAAGGGAGCTGCCCCTTGGAGGAGAGGCGCGTGGGTGGAGATGGGGGGAAAGCTGGGAATGGAGAGGCCAGGGCTGTGGCCGAGGAGGCCATCTGTCCCAGAATTGACTGTGCGCCTTCGTTTCTCTCCCTCCTCATGGGATCTGGGACGGGGCCCAGCCGGCAGTGAGGGAGTGAGCAGTGGGCAGAGGGAGCCAGAGGAGAAGCGGGTCACAGACACAGGACACCCTCGTGGCCGGACCAGCCTCAGGGTCTTGAGTGTCCCGTGGGGGTGCAAGGACGTCGGAGAGGGCTCACTCACCCTGCGGTGCCAGCATTTAACACAGACAATGCAGAAGACAGTGAGAAGCAATAGACCTGTGATTCCACCCAACACCATGGGCAGGAGCTTTGGCCAGGCCTTGATGAGGTCTGAAGGCAAGACTGCAAGACAGAGAGAGGCGTGCTCAGCTCCCTGCCCACGGTCAGGGCAAGGGGCACACAAGGGGGCCCAGGAGAGAGGGTCTCACTACCCAGCCACACTTGGGTCTGGTCCTTGGGCTGAGAGAGCGAGGCAGGATACGTGGTCCCCTTCGGGGCCACCAGGACTGGAAGGGAAAGGCTGGGGAAGGATTTTTTGTTGTTGTTGTTTTTTAATATTTTATTTTTTGATGTTTAAAAATAAAATTAAAAAAAGACATTGTTGTGACAGTTTCAGGTGAAGAGGGAAGGAACTCAGCTACAGATATACGTGTATCCATTCTACCCCAAAGCTCCCTTGGGGAAAGGGTTTTAAGATTAGATGCCACTCTGCTTTCTGGGGAGCTAGACCAACAGTCCCCACCCTTGCTATGCACATGAGTGTCTGTACGTTTGGGTGTGCATGTATGTCTGGGTCTGAAGAGGAGCTGGGAAGGGGGGCTCTTGGTCAGGTGAGCCCCACTCCTGGGTGGCAGACCTTAGGGAAGTGGGAACTTGTAGGACTACAAGAGCTCAGGGCCACACCCCACTTCACCTCATCAGCCCTGTGTCCTCCGCCCTCCCATCTCAGAGCAATTGGGAGGCTGGGTGGTCTCCACCAGCCCTGGGAGGGTCCCCCAGCTGAGGAGGCAGGGGCTCGGGGTTAGGCCATGGAACATGGACCCTGACTCACCGTTGATCTCGGATTCCAGCAGGACTTTGCCCTTGTCACTCAGCAGACACTGCCACGTCCCAGCCTCAGGCGCCAGCGCTGTCACCGACTTCGACTGATTTGAGCCCTTCATACTCTGGTTCACCATCTTCAAGTTCAGGGTCAGCCTTGGCGAGCTGGGCCCCAGCACCTCACAGGTCAGACTGTCTGGGGACTTAGTCACTGCAGAGGGACAAGAGCCTGAGACTGGGACGCTGGACCTCCAGGAATTCCATAGAACAGTGACGATGGTGCTTTACATCAGCACCACTATGCTAGCCTCTCAGAGCACATTTTCATACAATTATAATGGAGGAAGCACAGCTTCTGAGATCCAACAGTCTTAGATTTGAACCCCAGCCCTGCTGCTTACGATCTGTGAGTCTCTGAAGAAGTTACTTCCCAAGCTGAAGTGAGGTGATAGTCGCTCAGTAGTGACCGACTTTTTGTGACCCCATGGACTGTAGCCTACTAGGCTCCTCTGTCCATGGGATTCTCCAGGCAAGGATACTGGAGTGGATTGCCATTCCCTTCTCCAGGGGATCTTCCCCACCCAGGATCGAACCCAGGTCTCCTACATTGCAAGCAGATTCTTTACCACCTGGGCCACCAGGGAGAGCCCCGCACAATAGTTAAATGGAAAGATACACGCAGAGCACTTGAATGGGGCCTGGTTTGTACGAAACACCCAATCTAAGCCATTATTATTGGTGATGTTGTTATGATAATTAAGGAGGTAGGAGGGGAAGAACTCAGTGTGACACCTGACATTGTCACCATCACTGTCACACTGTTATCCTCCCTAGGACAAAAATGACCCACAGAAGGGAGGGGCTTAGTCGGGATCTGAGAGGGTCCCAGCAGAGGTAGAACTAGAGCCTGGTTCTCAGTGAGGCCCTCGGGAATTCTAGTGGAGCTCACCCTAGGCCAGCTCTTGGATGTCAGGGAGGGACAGAGGATTCCAACCTTAGTTCAAAACCAACCCCCAGGGACTTCAGAGTCTGCCTCCCAGTGCAGGAGACGCAGGTTGGATCCCTGGTCAGGGAACTAAGATCCCACATGAGGCAGGGCAACTAAACCCTTCGAGCTGCAACGACTGACCTGCAATGCTCTAGAGCCCATGCTCTGCAAGAAAAGTCCTTGTGCCTCAATTAGAGAAACCCTGCATGCCACAATGAACCCAACATAGCCACATTAAAAAAAAAAAATTCCCCCAACCAGAGGGCCCTTGATGGGCTTCATCAGGCATCCAGGGCCAAGGCACCCCCTTGAAGGGTCTGTCATGACTTGGAGGGGCGCTGAGCCAGGTCCCTTGGCCCCTGACCCCACCCTCACTGTCTCAGCCTAGCTCCTCACCTCTCATCACCACGAGGTTCACTTCCTGACGCAACTTCCCCTTGGTGAGATCCAGGGTCAGGATTCCAGAACCCGCGTACTGAGGCAAAGTCCGCGGCAGAGTGAAACGCAGTGGTAGCCTCTCCCCCACAAGGAGCTTGAGGTCCTTGTGAATCGTGAGCACCTTCACCTCTCTGTTCATCAAGGTGAAGGTGACCCAGGTATGGGAGGAAGAATCCCCGTTTGCCTGCTGCCAACTCAGCTCCCCGCTCAGATTTTCATCCTCGAAGGTGAGTGGGAAGGAGAGCTCCGCCTGCTCCCCCTCCTTCACATAGACTGTTTTGGGGGCCTTCTGGAAGGCTGGAGGGGGAGGGAGAGAACCTGGGTCCATACAGGGCAAGGCAGGTGCAGGAAAGGGGGCCAGGTGAGTCCAAACACTTGGGCTGCCACTCGAGCCCTTCAAGTCCCTTCTACATCTCCTCTCTTCTCTCTGCTCTGCACCCCAGGGAGGTGCCACAGCAATGCCCCCTCCCCAGAGAAGCCCTCCTAGAACAGCCCAGCCACAGGGGTTCTCTCCCTCCTCAGGATCCTGGAGCACAGAGGGCATCTGGCCTGTACCACATGGGTACAACATTCATCACCCTTCTCAAGGTAAGCGCAGACACTGGCTGACTACGTGCCAGGCGCTGTTCTAAGGGCACTTCATATGTTACTTGTCCTCATGACACGACAATGTAGGTTAGATCATCCCCATTTTGCAGATGCAGAAACCAAGGCACAGAGAGTTTCAGTGACCTGCCCCGGGGCCACACAGTCAAGTCAGAGCCAGGATTTCAGACAGAGTCCATGAACTTCATTACCACGCTACCCTCCTGTGTGTCACGTGAGTCACCCAGAGGACAGGGTCTGGGGTAGCACCTGTCTTCTAGGCTCTTTTTTTTTTTTTTCCTTCCCAGTGCCTACTCAGGACTCTGAACCTGCAACACTGAGTTTCTTCAGGGCCGGCTTGTTGCTGTGAGCGTCTCTGAGTTAGTGGACTTGCAACTTGGTGGGAGGGGGAAGCTGAGGCAACCAAAAAGACAGATGCCCTTGACAGCCCTCCTGTGGGGCTTCCTCCTGGGTCTCTGGGGTCCCTGACATCCTTACACCTCCTGTTCCTTCTTTCTTCCATGTTCGTTTCCCCAAGGAGTGGCTTGTGAGGAAGAGAAGGCCAGCGTGTCCCTTAGGGCAGACTTCTGCTCCAGGGGATCCTGGCTTCAGCCTCCCTCTCCACCCTCCCCCCGACCAAACCGCACCCCCCTCCCGGAGTGGAGCATTGAGGGCAGAGGAAGGTCTGGCAGGCAGGGGGTGCCTGCGGGGGAGGGGGAGCCCCTCTTACCCAGCACCACGATGGGTATTTTGATCTCCAGTGTCTGCTGGCTCTGGGAGATAGTGCACGTCCAGGTACCACTGTCCTGCAGCCCCACCTGGGCCAGTGACAGGCTCTTGAGGTCTTCTTTCCTATTATTCCCTGGACCCTTGCATTGCACTGAAGGGTTGCTCCCAGAGGGACTCTCCAAAGTGAAGGTCAGGCTCTGTCCCAGCAGCACGCGGGAGTCCGAGCTGGCAGTCACTGTGAGGGGAGCAGGCGAACTGTGTCACAAACAGACACACACCATCTCCCCAAGAAGACAAGAAGCCAGGAAGCCTAGGGTATTGCTCTGTTGTCCGTTTGTTGTTTCAGTTGCTAAGCTGTGTCTGACTCTTTGTGACCCCGTGGACTGTAGCCCACCAGGCTCCTCTATCCATGGGATTTTCCAGGCAAGAACACTGGAGTGGGTTGCCATTTCTTTTTCCAGGGGATCTTCCCGATCCAGGGATCAAACCTGTGCCTCCTGCATTGGCAGGCGGATTCTTTACCACCGAGCCATCTGAGAATCTGCAGTTACCCTTGTCCCAACAGCTCCCTCTGGCCACCTCCAGCCCAAGGCAGGGTCTCCTCTCCCCTCCCGCTCACCTCTCTTTCTTGTCTCTCTCACTTCTCCCTCTGTCTCCTGCCTTTCCACCCCTGCACCTCCTGCTCACCCCCAGGTCTCTGTCTTGCTTGCCTGACCCAAGGCCTGAGGTGGCACTGAGAAGACACAGTGGCCTGTCTGATCTGTCTTCAGACTGTTGAAATGCCAGCAGCTCAGGCCCTGGTTTGGGTGCAAGGATGCAAGTCAAGAAGGAAGGGAAATTGGCTGGAGATCCCAGGCTGCCGATCCCAGGCTGCCCCACTCACGTCTGAACACCTGCAGTTCCACCTGGAGCTTCTTGTTGTCCACTTCGCAGGTATAAGTCCCCGAGTCAGTTACTTGGAGATTCTTGATGATCAGAGGAAAGGATCCTTGGTCCCACAGGTTTAATCTGGATTCCACTCGATGGCCCATTTCACTGTTACCTGGGAGCAGATCCCGTATGGAGGAGGTTGGGGTACCCTGGAGACAGCGCATCCCTGACAAGGGTGGTACCCACCACTCTTCTGATCTGAGTTGCTGATCTCCGATAGAATCTGCCCTGGTCCTAATCTGAGAACCCCAGACTGTCGAGGAGGTCCAAACACATTCCTTTACCTGGCCAGGACAGCATCTCACTAACCCCAAATAAAACCGTAACCTCCCTTAGAGAGCACAAGCCTCTACATGTGTGTGTGTTAAGTCGCTTCAGTCATGTTTGACTCTTTGCAACTCCATGGACTGTAGCCCACCAGGCTCCTCTGTCCATGGGGTTCTCCAGGCAAGAATACTGGAGTGGGTTGCCGTGCCCTCCTCCAAGGGATCCTCCCTACCCAGGGATCTAACCCATGTCTCCTGAGTCTCCTGCATTAGCAGGTGGATTCTTTACCACTGAGCCACCTGAGAAGCTCCACCAGCTCCTACAGGCCAACACTTTACACACATCATCTCAGGTAATCGTCACAAGTCTGAGAAATAGGTACCGTTTTGCTTATCTTGCAGATAAGGAAACAGAGGCTCAGAAATTAAGTAGTTGTCCAAACTCTTGCTTACACATTATCGGCAGGAATATAAACCAGTGCAGTTTCATTGGAAAGTAATTTGTTTTGTTCTTATTTTTTAAGTTTTTATTGAAATATAGTTGATTTAAAGTGCTATGTTAATTTCTACTGTACAGCAAAGTGATTCAGCTAAACACATACACATAGCCACTCTTTTTAAAAATTCTTTTTCAATACAGCTCATTACAGAGTATTGAGTAGAGTTCCCTGTGCTATGCAGTAGGTCCTTCTTAGTTATCTGTTTTATATATAGTAGTGTGTATATGTCAATTCCAATCTCCCAATTTATCTGTTCCCCTGGAAGGTAATTTATAATACTCCCAGAATTACGAATGCACATACAGAATGAAATGTCCACCATGAAAGAAGAGGTTAAATAAGTTAGACTCACCCTTTCAGTGGAATGCTATAAGACAAGAATGAGGAGGCTGTTTATATTCTGAGATGGAATAATATCCGAGAAACACTGTTAACTGAATAAAGCAAGATATTTTCAAAGCTATCACTGTTTGAAAAGGAGGGAGAAAGTTATTTATCATCTATCTACCTGTATTTCTGTCTATCCATCTATCTTGTAAACGAACAAATATTTCTATCGGTGAACACAAGGAAATGGTCGCCTTGGTTGTCCCTGGGGATAGGAAGTGAACCCCATGAGACAGGTGTGGGAGAGGTTTTCATTTTATGCCTTTTTCTACTGTTCGAATTTTGACTCCAGTAAGTGGTAGAGCCAGGATTAAAATTCAGTTTGTTGTGAGACTTCCCTGGTGGTCCAGTGGCTAAGACTCTGAGCTCCCAATGCAGGAAGTTCAATCTCTGGATAGGGAACTAGATCCAATATGCCACAGCTAAGACCTGGCACAAACAAATAAATAAAAATGAATATTAAAAGAAAAAAACTTCCACTGCATCCCTTGTCTGCTCAGGAGATAACTCCCAGCCCCAACCTCTCGCCTTCCTCCTGGGCCCACATTTCCAGTGGCCCAAGGAATGACTTCATCTGGATGTCCTGACATCACCCCAAATCTCAACTGGTTACAAATGAAACCTAACAACCTTTCCCTAAAATAACTTGTCTTCCTTGCTTCCCTGTTAAAAGCTCTTCTGGGTCTCATCAAGACCCCCTTGTCCAGACTGTTCTATACTTTGTAAAAGAAATTCTACTTTGTGAAAGTTCTAAGAGTGTGAGAGAGTCTGGCATTAGTTCTTGGAGGAGACCAGTACAGAACAAAGCCTTAAAAGAAGGGTAGGCAGGGGACTTCCCTGGTGATCTGGTGGCTAAGACTCCATACTCCCAGTGCTGGGGGCCTGGGTTTGATCCTTGGTAGGGGAACTAGGTCCCACATGACACAACTAAGAGTTCACATGCCTCAACTAAAGATCCTGCCTCAACTAAGGAAGATTCTGCCTGGCTCAACTCAAGATCCTGCAGGCCGGATGAAGACTGAAGATCCTGCATGCCGCAACTAAGACTCAGTACAGACAAATAAATAAATAGTTTTCTTTAGAAAAAAAAAAAAGAAGTAAGCTAGAGGAAAGTGTTGCAGCAAGAATGTCTAGGAAGGGGGTAAAGTTCCTGGAAAGTCATACAGGCAGCCACCTCAAAGCAGTGAGGAGAATACCTGGGTGTGAGGTGTCCGGCTGAGGAGCAGCGGGAAGCCATCCTGAGGGAATGAATGTCGGGCAGAGGCTCTTCCAGGCTTAGTCTAGTGGAATAGGGAGTGACTGGCACTGTGTTGGGAATCAGCGCTGCTGTAGGAGGAAGAGACGCAAAGTAGGAGAGACCAGTAGCAAAGGAATTGCCAGGAAGCTCCCACTGTAACCCAGGGGAGGGGTAGGTGGCCTTGGCCAATGATGGCGGCATTCCCATGAGAACAAAGAAGGTGAAACGGAAGAACACATCCACCGGAAGGAATGGCCCTAGGCAGGGACTGAGGGGAAATCAGGGATTGAAGTGGGGGGAAAAATCCGACTCTGGTTCAGAAATTGGGAGCGGTCAGGAGAGTCATCCTGCTGTTGTCAGAGATCAGGAAGCTGAGAAGGGGAGCCATTCTGAAAGAAGTTCAGATCTTAGGAACAGAACAAAAACATCGACACAAAAGAGGTGAGAATTTTTAGAAAGGAGCACATTGTTTCAAGCTCACAGGCGAGCATAGAAATGCAAATTAAAACAACAATGATATGTTTTTCAATTATCAAAATTAGCAAAAAATAAAAGAGAGAATGTTTTAAATATTAGTATTCAGTGCCAGCAAGGGCTCCAGTGAAAGACACACACAGTGACATTATTATCTAGACTTACTGTAAATGGATAGAACCTTTCTGGAAGCAATCTGGCTGTATACACCAACTTTTTTTTTTTTAAGCTCATATCCTTAATTTCATTTCTAGAACTTTATCCTTAATAAGCTTAAAATTCAAGCCAAAATGTAGGTACAAAATAATAATTACAGTGTTCTTAATAAGGTGCAAGATTAGATGAAAAAATAATGGCTGCATATTAGAGCATACTAACTTGATGGACTATTAGGTGAGCACTAAAAATGACATTTACAAATAATTTTCAACGAAATGGAAAACATTCATAATATACATTTTGTAAGTTGTGTTAAGATCATCTTTACTTTTTTGGTTAGTTATTTGAACTACAAAAATTATACAGACTCACAGACTCAACATTTTTCTTCTTCCTTGCCCATCCTCAATACTACTGCAAACAACTTAGTGTGGATTTCTTCATGCTTTTTTCTGTTTGTGTAGACATATATTTACACACATTGAATTTTCCTTTTTTTAAGTATCTATTTTTATTTAATATTAATTTGGCTACACTGGGTCTTAGTTGCCACATGGGGGATCTAGTTCCCTGATCAGGGATCAAACCCAGGCCCCTTGCATTGGGAACACTGAGTCTTAGCCATTGGACCAGCAGGGAAACCCCCACATTGAATTTTTAAATTAAAATGGGACTCTATTATTGATACATACATAGCTTACTTTTCACTTAACAAAATATGCTTGACATCCTTCTAAGTGTGTGTGTGTGGAGCTTCTTCATTCTGTTTGTTTTGTTTTGACATTATGAAAGCTAATCATTTTACTCTGATGATTCTTTAAACATTTTCTTCTGAGAAAATCATGCAACCATAAGAAATAGCGCAGAATTATCTGGAATACCCTTGACCCAGCTCACCCCAAATGTAACAGCTTGCAAAATTATAGCACAGTATTGCTGCCAGAATATTGGCATCGACACAATTCAAGATGCAGAACATTTCTAGCACTATAAAGATGTTACCCTTTTCCAGCCAAATCCTATTCCCTCCCAGACCCCTTTGCCCTGACTCCTGGCAATCACTAATCTGTTCTCCACTTCTGTAACTTGTCATTCTGATAATGTTATATAAATGAAATTATATAGTATGTTATTTTGTGGGATTGGCTTTTTTTTTTTTTTTTCCAATACAGCATAATCCTCTGGAGTCATCTAGGTTGTGATCCAAAACTATAGTTCATTCTTTTCACTGCTGAAAAATAGTCCATAGCATGCATACAACCATTCACCCACTAAAGGACGTCTAGGTTATTTCTAGTTGTTGGCTACTACTACTAAAACTGCTGTCAATAATTTTACACAGATTTCTGTGTGATCATAAGTCTTTCTTTCTCTGAGGGGTAAGTGTCTAGGAGTACAATTGCTAGGTTGTTGCAAGTTTAGCTTTCTAAAGAAATTTCCAGGGCTTCCCTGGTAGCTCAGTGGTAAAGAATTCGCCTGCCAATGCAAGAGACACAGGTCTGATGCCTGGTCCAGGAAGATCCCACATGCCATGGAGCAACTAAGCTCATGTGCCGCCACTACTGAGTCTGTGCTCTAGAACCCAGGAGCTGCAACTACTGAAGTCCCCAAGTCCTAGAGCCCTTGCTACCCAACAGGAGAGGCCACCACCATGAGAAGCCTACACACTGCAGCTAGAGAGTAGCCCCCACTCCCTGAAACTAAAAAAAAGCCTGAGCAGGAATGAAGACCCAGCACAGTCAAAAATTAGTAAATAAATTTTTTTAAAAATTGCTGAACTGTTCTCTAGAGCAGCTGTACCATTTTATTCTCCCACCAGCAATATAAGAGTAATCAGTGGCTGCATCCTCACCAGCACTGGATGTTACTTTTTTTTTTTAATTTTGGCCATTCTGATACATGTGTAGTAATATCTCATTGTGGTTTTAATTGGCATTTCCCTGATGACTAATGACAATTAATACATTTTCATGTGTTTGTTTGCCATCTCTATGTCCTCTTTTGTGAAATATCTTTTCATGTCTTTTGCTTATTTTCCAATTGGATTGTTTGGGTTTTTTGGTATTGAATTTTGAGAGTTGTGTTCACATTCTAGATACTAGTCTTTGTTGGATATGTAGTTTGAATATATTTTCTCATATTTTATAAATTAAGACAATTTTCCTCTTCTCAATAGAGTCTTTTGCAGAGCAAAGTTTTTTTTATTTTGGTCAAGCCCAACATGTCAGGAATTCCCTGGAGGTCCAGTGGTTAGGAGGCACTTCCACCTCAGGGGGCACCAGTTTGATCCCTGGTTGGAGAACTAAGACCCCACAAGACGAGTGGAGTACAGCCAAAACATAAAAATAAAAAAAGATCAATGTATCCATTTTTCCTTTTATGGATTGTGCATTGATATCTAGTCTAAGAACTCTGCTTAGTTAAGTCCTAGTTCATCTTCTGAAGGAAACATAGAAACTGATTAAAACAGTTGACTCTGGGGAAGGGAACCAAGTAACAGGGGATCAGGAGTAAGAGGGAGATTAATCGTCACTGTGTATCATCCAGCTCAGCTCAGTTCAGTTCATTCGCTCAGTCATGTCCGAATCTTTGCTACCCCATGAACTACAGCACACCAGGCTTCCCTGTCCGTCACCAACTCCCAGAAGTTGCTCAAACTCATGTCCATCGAGTCAGTGATGCCATCCAACCATCCCATCCTCTGTCGTCCCCATCTCCTCCTGCCTTCAATCTTTCCCAGAATCAGGGTCTTTCCAATGAGTCAGCTCTTCGCATCAGGTGGCCAAAGTATTGGAGCTTCAGCTTCAATATCAGTCCTTCCAATGAATATTCAGGACTGATTTCTCTTAGGATTGACTGGTTTGATCTTGCAGTCCAAGGGACTCTCAGGAGTATTCTCCAACATCACAGTTCAAAACTATCAATTCTTCGGTGCTCAGCTTTCTTTATAGTCCAACTCTCACAACCATACATGACTACTGGAAAAACCATAACTCTGACTAGATGGACCTTTGTCAGCAAAGTAACATCTCTGCTTTTTAATATGTTGTCTAGGTTGGTCAAAACTTTTCTTCCAAGAAGCGTCCTTTAATTTCATGGCTATAGTCACCATCTGCAGTGATTTTAGAGTCCAAGAAAATAGTTTGTCACTGTTTCCATTTTTTCCCTTCTATTTGTCATGAAGTATTGGGACCAGATGCCATGATCTTAGTTTTTGAATGTTGAGTTTAAGCCAACTTTTTCACTCTCCTCTTCCACTTACCTCAAGAGGTTCTTTAGTTTTTCTTTGTTTTCTGCCTTAATGTGGTGTCATCTGCATATCTGAGGTTATTGATATTTCTCTTGGCAGTCTGGATTCCAGCTTGTGCTTCATCCAGCCTGGCATTTCACATGATGTACTCTGCATATAATTTAAATAAACAGGGTGACAATATACAGCCTTGGTGCACTCCTTTCCCAATTTGGAACCAGTCTGTTATTCCATATCCAGTTCTAATTGTTGCTTCTTGACCTGCATGCAGATTTCTCAGGAGGCAGGTAAGGTGGTCTGATATTCCTATCTCTTTAAGAATTTTCCACAGTTTGCTGTGATCCACACAGTCAAAGACTTTAGTGTAGTCAATAAAGTTTATTTTATTGACTGCACTATTGTAGATGTTTTTCTGGAACTTTCTTGATTTTCGATGATCCAACAAATGTTGGCAATTTGATCTCTGGTTCCTCTGCCTTTTCTAAATCCAGCTTGAACATCTGGAAGTTCATGGTTCATGTACTATTCAAGCCTGACTTGGAGAATTATGAGAATTACTTTGCTGGCATGTGAGATGAGTGCAATTGTGCTGTAGTTTGAACAGTCTTTGGCATTGCCTTTCTTTGGGATTGGAATGTAAACTGACCTTTTCCAGTCCTGTGGCCACTGCTGAGTTTTACAAATTTGCTGGCATATTGAGTGCAGCCCTTTCACAGCATCATCTTTTAGGATTTGAAATAGCTCAGCTGGAATTCAACACCTTCACTAGCTTTGTTCATAGTGATGCTTCCTAAGGCCCACTTGACTTAACCACCGTGGTTACCTTGGTCATTAAGATCTTTTTGTATAGTTCTTCTGTGTATTCTTGCCAACACTTCTTAATATTTCAATTTATTAAGATCTCTTAATGACTTAGTTGCTCAGTTGTATCCAATCCTTTGTAACCCCATGGACTATAACCTTCCGAGCTCCTCTGTTCATGGGATTCTCTAGGCAAGAATACTGGGGTGGATTGGCATTTCTTACTTCAGGGGATCTTTCCAACCCAGGAATCAAACCCAAGTCTCCTGCAAGTCTCCTGCATTGGCAGGTGGATTCTTTACCACTAGCGCCACCTGGGAAGCACAAATAAATAAACTAAACTTGAGCCACTGATTATTTTGTATTACTAGTACAAAAGGAGCAATAAATATTACATGCCTCCTAATGTGATGAAATTGCTAATATAAAATACCATCTATAAAATGGTCTTGTCAAAAGATTAAACATGTGCACCTCAATGTCCATGGCAGCACTATTTACAATAGCCAACACATGGAAGCAACCTAAATGTCCATCAACAGAGGAATGGAGAAAGAAGGTATATATAATGGAATATTACTCAACCATAAAAAAAGAATGAAATAATGCTATTTGCAGCAATATGGATAGACTTAGAGACTGTCATACTAAGTAAATTTAGTCAGAAGGAGAGAGACAACTATCATATATCACATATATGTGAAATCTAAAATGTGATACAAATAAACCTATTTACAAAGCAGAAACAGATTCACAGACAAAGAAAACAATCTTATGGTTGCCAAAGGGGAGGAATGTTGTGTAGGAGAAATGGTGTGTAGGTATAACTGAATCACTTTGCTACACACCAGAAACTAACGCAACACTGTAAATCAGCTATACTTCAATTTTAAAAAAAGATGGGGCTATAATGCTTTGTAATATGGAGTACAATTATTAAATAAGTCACTGAGAGAAAAATGAACGTGAACTTGATCATGCCTCTAGATCTAATCACCATCTCTAGGAGATTTAAGGGACAGAGACACATGCTAAACGCTACCACAGTGTAAAACTTACAGGGCAATTGTCTGGTTTCTTCAAATATCAGTTGCAAGAGGGGGCGGAAAAAGGAGAGTAAATGTATAAATTCAAAGAGATTTAAGGGCCATATCAAGCAAATACCATGCATGAATTTTTATTTGAATTCTGATTCAGATAGACCAAATGTAAAAATGATATTATGAGGCATTTGGGAAAATTTGAACACTGGATATTTTTTTTCATTAAGGAATTAGTCTTTAAGCATTGATGATGGTATTATAGATGTGTTTTTTAAATCCAAATATAGTTGATTAACAATGTTTCAGGTGTACAGCAAAGTGGTTCAGTTATATGAACCAATATTGCTCATGAACTGATCATTGTTGAAGCTGAGAGGGATACATAGGGGTTCATCATATACTTATTCAACTTCTATATACATTTGAATTAAGAGAAAATGTTAAAATAAGCAGTGAAATGCAAATAATAAATCAAATAAACTTATAAAGAATAAATACATTTCACACTGGTGGCATTTTTCTATTTTTCACTCATATGACTTTCTCCCATTCAATAATGTATTGAATATTAGAAGCCATACCCAAAAGAAATAAGTTACTTAAACAGGAGCATGAGGGTAAAATTTACATGAAAAAATTAGATTGCAAAATAATGTTCCTAAGAAGTTTTGAAATCTTAATTCTTTCCACTTTGAAAGCTAGAAAAAGACTTCCCTGGTGGTGCAGTGGATAAGAATCTGCCTGCCAGTGCAGGGGACATGGGTTCAATTCCTGGTGGGGAAAGATCCCACATGCTGATAAGCAACAGCCCGTGTGCCACAGCTGCCGAGCCTGAGCTCTGGAGCCCACATACCACAACTCATGAAGCTCTTGCCTAGAGACTGCTCCACAACAAGAGAAGCCTCTGAAATGAGGAGCCCACACTAGAGTAGTGTGGCCTAAACTAGATAGTAGGCCCCCGTTCGCCACAACTAGAGAAAAGCCCAAGCAGCAATGAAGACCCAGCCAAAAATAAATAATTTTTTTAAAAAGTTAGGAAAAAAACATTCTGTTGCTCTTAATGGAACTGAACAAAGTATCATCATTGGTCTGTAACAACAGTGTTCATGAAATCATGGGTTTCATATGATAGCTATTTTTCTAATATCCATTAAAATAAGGCCATCAATATTAAAATAATGAAATTATAATAGACCACCAGAAGCCATTCCCCAGCCCACCAGTAGCTGGCAGAGGTCGGTTCCGGACTTGGGGAGTCCCTGAGACTCTGGTTGACGGCAGAACCCTCCAGAACCCCAGCGTTTACTAGGAGCCAGGCCCTGCCACAGGTGTGTTCATTCCCCAGGGCTCTCTTCTCTAAACAGGGAGCAGGGCCCACCTACCTTTGTGCAAGAAGGAGCCATAATTCCCCAAAATCTTGGACTGGGAAGAATCTTTCCAGCTGAAGACCAGGTTCTTCTTCTGAGAAGCCTGGCAGGGCAGCTCTGCCTGGTCTCCTGCCTTACCCAGCACCACAGTTTTTCCCTGAGTGCCAGCCAGGAGCATCGCTAGGTGGAAATACAGGGGGGTCAGGCCTTGAGGTTGTGGTTGCCCCATCCCCCACCTGGCAGTCCCCAACCAGCCCCTCCTCCCAAGTCACCTGCACCCAGACCCCAAGTCTGAGCACTCACCCAGTTGCAGCACCAAGAACAGGTGCCTAAGAGAAGTCCTCGGGCACATTGCGGCTTTGCTGAGGCAGGCAGGGGGCCTGAGCCTTCCCCTGAAGAAAGGGCAGGGCCTGGGGGAGACACCAGTCAGCAGTTAGCAGGCATTCACCTGGCTGGGTCCACTTCATGACCCAGACAGCCAGGCGGGAACCTATACGTGCAGGCCTCTGAACAAGACACCCATGGGTTATGTGCCATGCATGCTGTGCCCAGGCCAGGGGTGGGTTTTTTGCCAGGGGGAACCAGAAAAGGATTCTCAAAAGACTTCCTTCGTGGTCCAGTGGTTAAGAATCCGCCTGCCAAGGCAAGGGACACGGGTTCAGTCCCTGGTCCAGGACGATTTCATATGCCATGGAGCAACCAAGCCCTTGCACCACAGTTACTGAGCCTGTGCTCTAGAGCCTGGGAGCTGCCACCACTGAGCCCATGTGCTATAGCTACTGAGGCCCACATGTCCTACAGCCCGCGTTCCACAACAAGAGAAGCCACCAGAATGAGAAGGCCTCCCACCGCAGCTAGAGAGCAGCCCCCACTCCTTACAACTAGAGAGACTCTGTGGCCAACAACGAAGACCCAGCACAGCCAAAAATTAATTAATCAATCAATGAATTACAAAATAAAATGAGTGGACGGCCTTTGGTGCGAATGAAAGTTTTTTAAAAAGAAGAAGCCTCAGAGAAGGTGGCAAATTGGTAGGAACTGGGACTAGGGAGTCAGGCCGGGTCATGAAGGTCCCGGAGTGCCATGACCCTGGGCGCTCGAGGGAGCTTTACTTAGAGAAGGACAGGTGTAGGCTTACAGGATGGATCCCTCCAGCTGCTGAGCAGAAGAGGGCCTGGAGGACGTCAAGCAAGAGAGGCAGGATTGCAAGAATCCTGGTGAGAGAAGATGAGGCCTGAACTCAGATAGACAGACTTAAGGGAGGAGCTCTGAAAGAAAACCCCCAGTTCCTGGGGTCTGATTTGGCATGAGGGGTGCAGTCAGGGAAAGGGCAGAGGGTGATTCCCTAGAAGGCCTCTGAGTGGGACAAGCAAAAAGGTGATGCTCCGGAGTTCCTGTGGGCTTAGAAGACAGACAGGGCCGTGAGGGAGGGGGTCACAGAAGGGCTCTGCATGGACCTGGAGGAATGGGTGGCACTGGGTTGGAGAGAGAACTTGTGAGACAGGCAACCTCTGGGGCCCACCCTAGACCTCCGGGATCAGGAGCTGGGGTTGGGAGCAGCCGTCTGCATTCACAACCCTCTGGGGGACTGATGCACACTCAAGTCTGACAGCCCCGAGCCAGCTGGAAAGGAAAGAGGAGGGCACCCTACCACAGTCTGCAGAGTCGGGGTGGCGGGGGGAGTGTCTGGCTCTGGAAGGAAGTCTTGGGGGGTGGAGCCTGATCTTGAGTCTTGCTGGGCAGGCCAGAGAGTTGGGGCTTGGCTCTGCAGGGCACTGGGAACCGCTGCTCATTTTGGAGCAGAGATGTGACGAGGTCTTTGAGAGCTTTAGGAAGCTCAATCAGATGGTAAGGGGACCAGATGACACGGAGGAAGTAGAGCCAAAAGGAAGGCCACCAGACAGTGCCTCGCAGGCAGGCGGGACCTGGCTCAAGTGTCTCTGAGGGGGTGGTGGAGGGTTGGACTAGAAGTCTGGGAGACTAGCAGAGGCAAACTATTACATACAGGATGGATAAACAACACGGTCCTACTATATAGCACAGGGTACTATATTCAATATCCTGTAATAAATCATAATGGAAAAGAATATGAAAAAGACTATAGTATATATAACTGAATCACTTCGCTGTACACCAGGAACTAACACTACATTGTAAATCAACTGTACTTCTTTTTTTTTTAAGTGTCTGAATTTGGCCCCAGATTGAGGGTGGGCCTCAGAGCAGTGACAGCCTTGGGGCTGTCAGCACACACCTGGCGTGCAGCTAGTGTATCCAGACCTACTTTTCTCCCCCACCCCCACTCCAGCCTGGTCTTTCTCTCTGCTGGGGACCATCTTTCAGTGAGCTGTCTGCTCTGAACTCCCAGTCTCCCACTCTGAACTTGACCCCTTTATGGGCACGTCCCAGCTTCTACCATAGTTGTAGTTCCTGCCTTTCCTCCACCAACAGTCAATCTTAAGGGAGATCAACCCTGAATATTTATTGGAAGGACTGATGTTGAAGCTGAAGCTCCAAAACTTTGGCCACCTGATGTGAACAGCCAACTCATTGGAAAAGATTGAGGGCAGGAGGAGAAGGGGGTGACAGAGGATGAGATGGCTGGATGGCATCACCGATGCAATGGACATGAACTTGGGCAAACTCCAGGAGATGGTGAGGGACAGGGAAACCTGGCATGCTGCAATCCCAGAGGTCGCAAAGAGTTGCACACAACTGAACAAAAACAACTCTCCTCCACCAACTTGATCTCTAGGCTGGAGATGATGGTCCAGCCAGCAAGGCCACCGCTGGCCCCATTTGGAGCACAGAGAAGGGTCTTGGGATGTGTTTGGTTAACTTAAACCAAATTGAATTGAACAGAGAGGGGAAATCACTGGTTACTTTTTTCTGGACTCAACATGGTAATTCTGTAACTAAAAAGTGTCTGTACACACCCAAACCTGGCCTGGATGACACCAAGTCATCCCCATCCACACGGCCTACTCTTGTGCCCACCCTCTCAGGCATTCTCTTTTCTTTCTTCTTTTTATTTTTAATTGGCGGATAATAGCTTTACAATGTTGTGTTGGTCTCTGCCATACATCAACATGAATCAGTCATAGGTGTACACATGTCGCCTCTCTCTTGAACCTCCCTCCCATTTCCTCCACCTTCTTTCTTTTATTTTTTAAATTGTTTGACCACACACAAAGCAGGTAGGACCTTAGTTCCCAATCAGGGATCAAACCTGCACCCCCCTGCATTGGAAGCACAGAGTCTTAATCACTTGAACATCAGGGAAGCCCATACCCCCAACCCCCAGGCATTCCCCATGGTCTCTGCCCTGCTCTCCACAGGGAGGCTGACCACTGCACACCTTATACACTGTGTCACCCAGGCTCCCTCGGCCTTCAGCTCCTAGTTGGGGTCGGCCAATGGGAAGCACCCACAAGAGATGAGAGGGCTGGGGAGAGAGGTTGGGGTGTTTTATCCTTGTTCTCTCCTGGCTCAGGGCATATTTTCTGGCATCAGCTGTATTCCCTCCTTTGCCCTTTCCTTCCCATAGTGACCACAGCTCTTGCCAGGTGGCCCCCTAATAGCAACTCAAGCCCTCACTGGGTTCCAGAAACACCAGGTTGGCCATTTCCCCTTCAGGATTCTGCCCACTGCTTTGGCATCTGGTGCCTCAACACCTCTTTCTGCAGGTGGTCGTGAACCGTCTGAGATGGACTCCGTTTCCTGTTGGCCAATGATCCATGATAAGGAGGCAGCACTTGAGTGCGTGCTAAGGGCTTGACCCTCCTAGTGAGGTTTGGGCAGGGGAAGCCTCCTCTTCAAGAGGTGTTGAGGCACCAGATGCCAAAGCAGCGGGCAGAGTCCTGAAGGGAAAGGGCCAACCTGATGTTGCTTCATCTGCCTCAAAGAGGAACTACTCAGGGCCTAACGCCTGGTAGGAACTTGCTAGAATTTTTTTTTTTTTTTTAGAATTTTTTTTTTAAACAAGGGAAATAAGAAGAAAAGTGGTCAAGAAGGAGGTTTTGGGGGCTTCCCTGGTGGTCCAGTGGTTAAAAATCTGCCTTGCAATGCAAAGGACATGGTTTGGTCCCTGGTCCGGAAAAATTCCAAGTGCTGCGGAGCAACTAAGTCTGTGCACAACAACTTCTGAGCCTACGTCTAGAGCCCAAGCCTTGCAACAAGAGAAGCCACTGGAGTAAGAAACCCACGCACCACAACTAGAGAGTAGTCCCCGCTCATCGCAGCTAGAGAAAGCCTGCATGTGGCAACAAAGACCCCCCCACAGTCAAAAAGTAAAATGAATAAATAAATCTTAAAAAAAAAAAAAAGAAAGAGGAGGAGTAGGAGGTTTCCAGGAAAGGAAGAGGGAGGCTAGGTCACGGGTGAAGTTGTTTACTAGTTGGCCTGGGACCACAAGGCACATAGCAGGAGGCTGGGGTGAGAAAGTAAGGCGGGGCACTCCTACATCTGAAAGTAAGTCCCACTGTCTGCCCATCCTAGACTCACCGTGTCCTGGGTGAGCAGAGAGTGAGGGAGTCTCCATGTGAGATGCCCTTCCCTGAGGTTCAGAGTCAGTTTAGACGCCTGAGCAAGACTAGGGTCATTCTTGTCCCTCCCCGGGTGTGGTCAATTTTTCCTCCCCACTCCGTGATCCTGGCCTCAGTGCAAGGCCCACTTACCACCCCCAGTTCCCTGTGTTGCCCCAACCCACAACCCCAGGGCTCAGCTTGGTCGGTGGAGGAGGTTCTGGGTTTCCAGCTGCTGTTTGCTTTGATGCCTGGGGCTTCCGCTGCCGCCCCAGAGAGCTGGCCTTTGATCCCCACATCCTCAGCCTCCCCAGAAGCGCTCTGCCCCGGTACAGTAGCATCCTGTACACTGTACACTGCAGGCTCCTGAGGCCGGCGGGAGGGCCCACGTGTCCCCGAGGCCTTGGCTCCTCTCTCTCTCCCTGTTTCTCTGCTCACAGCTGTGCTTCCCCTCACCTCTACCTTCAGCTCCCTATGTCTGTCTCTCCTCCTCTGCTAGGAGGCAATTCTAGCCCTCCTGGCTCGCCTGCAGGGCCCCTTGATTTTTTTCCCTCAGAATCCCTTCTCTCTCCAGCAGCCACTAAGCTCCAGTCCCTCCTGGCCTGGAAACCAGCATCCTGGCCTCTGGCTGGAGGGCTGCAGTCTCCCCACAAGCTTCTGTTTGAAGGGAGCCTGCAGACTACAGCCTGGGCCCAGGATGGATGCCAGGGAGATGGCTGTGGGGTGGACAAAGGGAAAAGGACAGATTCTTCAGAGGAACACATAGAAGACCCAAGGGAGGATGATGGGAGGATGGAGGCGGGGGGACAGAAAGGCAGGGAGGGGCCCAGATTAGCTCATTAAAGTGGCAGCTACATTTACACAATCCATGATCACACACAATGCCCCGGGTAGCACAAACGAGGTAGGGCAGAGGGAAAGAAGGAGATTCTGAGACACAAGACACAGGCCTGGAGCAGGACACCGAAAGAGAGGCAAGGAGAAGCCAAGGTGGCAAAGCACTGCTTGCCCTCGGGGCCCCAGCCGCCCCCCACCCCGGGCAGGGCTGAGAAGCGAGAGGCTCGGGGCTGGGGGGAAGAGGGCACAGCCCCACCGCAGTGACAGTCTGTGGTCCCGCAGGCACTTTTATCTCCTCCGCACGGCCCCCATCAGCCCCCTCCAGCCCGCCGCGGATGTGCCCCCTACTGCACGCTCCCCGTCTGCTGCGCTCCGGCTTCATGCGAACTTAACTTCCTAGAGACTTGGTCCCTCCAAGGGACCCTTGTGGTTCGGTGGCTGCAAACCTCCACCATCCTCTCCTTTGCCTCCGTCGCCCACATGGGGGGAACGGAGCGCCCCCTCTCCTTCCACGATCCCTGGAGGGGTGCAGAGCCGACCTCAGCCAAGGAGGCCACAAACCCCAGCCCCTTGCCTGTCCCCTCCGCACACCCACCCACATCAAAGGCATTTCACTCAGCCAAGACTCACGGAGGATCTAAAGCGGCCAGGCCCTTGTCTACCCAACTCCTTGATGCCATGCCAGGGCCAGGATCAGGGCCCAAGGTCTATGGGGCTTCTGCCCAGACCGGTTGATGGGAGGGAGTCTTATCTCAGGTGGGCCTCTTCTGCCTGAGGGCCCCCACACTGAAGGAGGGAGACATCCCACGGTTCTCTGGGAACCCCTTCTTCTGAGGTGAGGAGGGCGGCCATTTTGTTCCAGCCCATACTCTACACAGGACAAGAAGTTGTCAAACACGCAGTGAGGTGACCTCCCTGGCATCAGGCTCTACCCTCAGCCCTGCACCCCAAAAAGCCCACCCCAAAAGGGCAGGACATTCAGGAAGAGCTGTCCCACCCAGAGCGCAATGTTTGAGTGAGTGATAGTGGGACCTTTCTATTCTGAGGGATCTGACTGTAGGGAGGAGGCCCCCATCCACACACACACAGAATCCTGCCAGGATGGGAGGACAGTGGACACCCTGGGGAACAGGGCTGCAGGCCACGGAGGCCTCAGGAGAGAGGAGAGGACTGAGGACGTGGAGGTGGGAGGCAGGGGTCCTTCGGAGCGTTCTGCTAGAGAGGTATCACATCCTGTATGTCCCCCACAGACCCCACAAAGCCCAGGGAGGATCTGCAAGTCCTTCTCTAACCCCCCTACCAGCCTCCTTTTCTAGAGCAGCTGAGACACCTAACACTGATTTCTTAGAACCAATTTTTCTAATGACGTGGTGGCCTAAAAATACGTATCTCTCCCTTTTACCGCATGTCATACCCAGGAGCTAGGTTTCACTCCCTTCTCAGAATTTTAGCTTTCAATCATCTCATTAATCATTTTAAAGCTAAAGTGGAAGTGTCTTTAAATATACTGTTCAAAAATCCTAAAAAGGCACGAAAAGCAAACAAAAGTGTAGAAACATAAACTGAGAGTCGAAGGAGGCTACATCAGTCATATGGCTTATGAAATGCTGCAAATGTGATTTCTGGTGTGAGTTTTTGGTGAGTGAGTTATTGGGAAAATTAATTTGAGGGGAGAAATGTCTCTAGACCAGGTTGTACTTCTCTTTCTCTTGCTTTTATATTGTTTTTTCTTTTCCTTTCTTTTTCCTGGGCCTCCTCCCACTTTTAATATTTGTGGGTTCTTTCTATGTCTCTCCCATTTCTTCTTTCCTCTTTTTTTCCTTCTTTTCCCCTCTCCCTGTCTTTATCTCCTCTACTGCCCATCACCAGTGGCCTTTTTCAGCCCGGGGCCCTGAAGCGCCCATTTTTTCTCTGATCTCCAAGTCCAAGTCAACACCCTTCCGCCCCGGGAACTGAGCTGTGTGCAGTGGGGCTCTGAAGAGAAGCATGGCAGAGTCCCTTGGCTTCTGCAAGCTCACATTTCCAGGGGGAGAGTGTGGCTCGAGAAATGCCAGAGAAGGTTGCCGGAGCTCTGGGCAAGACCGTGATGCCAACACATCTCCTGCCTCACACCCCTCCCCTTCCCGACCCTCAGAAAGGAACGAAGCCTGGTCTGTCCCTCTTACCTCCTGGCCTGGGTCTCTCTTCCCTTCTGCTTCTTGCACAGGTGTGTCTCTGTGAGGGTTGGGAGCAGAGGCCCACTGGGGAGGGCGCCTGTTACTTCTGCAGACAGAGATACGCTTAGACGGAGAGACAGGAAGCCTGGTAGCGAGTCTCCACTTCCCAGGCCTGGGCCAGCCCCCAACGTCACCATCTAGGGCTGGGGTCCCCACCCTCTGCCTTTTGGGGAAGATGTCAGAATGAAAATGACAAAGTCAAGGGAAAAAGTTTAGCAGAACTCGGCCGGAGCCCAGAATATGGCCCCGCTTCTCGGTGGATGGCAGGAAAAAGCGTCAATGTGTTTTTCGTGGCTAGCAAGAAAAACATTGATTGGATCAGTAATATTACAGTCTGGCCAGGGCTTCAGGGAAACAAGAAGTGGGAAGCAGATGGACCCACAGTAGCTGCTGTGGTCTAGCCGCACACAGCATCTAACTCCAGGGTCAGAGGACATCTGTTCAGTAGGTGCTTCCAGGGCTCCCTCACCAAAGGCATCATAGTTGGGCCAGCGCAGCAGAAAGGGGCGGGGCTAAGAAGGGGCACCTGAGACAATCACAGTGACCATGGACTGGGCTTCTTTCCTGTGAGCCTTCATTTCTGGCCAATCCGCAAATGTTTCTCTCTGGTTCAGATCTCTCATGAGCACCAGATGGGGGTCTCCCCGTTTGGATGTTCAGCAGACATAGCAAACTCAAACCCAGTGCATAGCCTCCCAAACCAAACCCATCACCTCCATACTACTACCCTCCAAACCTACTCCTTGTTCAAATTTCCCACTCAGTGAGGGGCCCACCAAGGAACTGGGCTCAAACCCAAGAAACTGGGTATAATCTCTTTTTTAATATTTATTTATTTGGCTGCGTCAGGTCTTAGTTGGGGTATGCAGGACCTTTCATTATGGTGCTCAGGCTCAGTAGTTGTTGCATGAGGGCCTAGTTTCCTCATGGCCTGTGGGATCCTAGTTCCCCAACCAGGGATCAGACCCACAAACCCTGCATGGGAAGGTGGATTCTTAACCACTGGACCACCAGGAAAGTCCCCCTGTTCTCTTTTTTTTTAAGTTGATTTTTTTTTTGTTTGTCTGATTGAGTTTTTGTGTTGTTCTTGTCTTTTTTGCCATACCACATGACATTGGTGTTCAGTCACTAAGTCATGTCCAACTCTGCGACCCCATGGACTAAGTATGCTAGGCTCCGTGGTCCTTAACTATCTCCAGAGTTTGCTCAGACTCATGTCCATTGAGTTAGTGATGCCATCCAACCATCTCATCCTCTGCTGCCCTCTTCTCCTTTTGTTTTTGATCTTTCCCAGCATCAGGGTCTTTTTCAGTGAGTCAGTTCTTTGCATCAGGTGGCCAAAGGATTGGATCTTCAGCTTCAACATCAGTCCTTCCAATGACTATTCAGGGTGGATTTCCCTTAGAATGACTGGTTTGATCTCCTTGCTGTCCAAGGGACTCTCAAGGGTCTTCTCCAGGCAACATGTGGAATCCAAATTCCCCAACTAGGGATTGAACCCACGTCCCCTGCATTGCAAGGCAGATTCTTCACCCCTGGGCCGCCAGGGAAGTCCCTGTGTGTAATCTCTGACTTGTTCCTCAGCCTGCACCTCCCAAGTATTTGTTTCCCAATTCCCCGGGACATCACCTTCTAAGTAGCTCTGACGTTTGTCAGAGTCGCTCTGCCCCACCACCACCATTCGAGTCCAAGGTGCCATCTTCATCCTTCACTTGATCAACAGCTCCGGCCTCCCCCTGGTCTCCTGGTGTCTCCCTCCTGCCTTGCCTGCAGACCATCATCTGCTCAACAGCCTGAGTGATCATTCCAGTATGCGCCTGTCATCATGGCATTCCCCCACTGCCAACAAAAGTGGCTAGCTCAGTTTTCAACTCCAACAACTAATACAAGTGTTTCTGTTGAGACAACCATTGTGCTTTATTGCAGCTGAAGCGCTTTCTGCTACTTCTCCTTTCATAACACAGTATACCCAAAAGTTGGGAGTTAATAACATCAGTTTATATATTGCTTCATCAAGAGTATTCTAAATCGAAACTGGCATTAGTTTATTTTCTTTTTTTTTCTACAAGTGCCTGACAGTGGAAAGTACAATGACCTTAGCATGGTTTGGCACCACCGCCTTGGTTTGTGCTAAGGCAGCAGTCTAACCTAGATTGTTTTTGCAACATCTCTGCAATGTCAACATAGTGACAAGGACAAATAATGTCCTATTATTTTTATGAAAATGGCTTGGTCTGGCAGACTCCCTGAAAGGGTCTCGGAGTCTCCCACGGATCACACAGCGGGAACCCCACTAATCTGGAAATTTTGTATCCACTCTTCAGGTCTTAGTTATCTCTCTGCACAGACCTTTAGTTATCCCCCAAACCTATTTTCTCCTTCTTCCTGGTAATAGAAGTCTCAATTTTTAGCTGAGCTCATAGTTGCCCAGATTTATGTTATATTTAAGTTATATTTCCTAGCCTCCTTTGCAGCTGGGTATGGCTAAATGACTCTGGGCTTTCTTTTTTTTTTTAATATTTTTTTATTTGCCTGGGCCGGTCTTTGATGCAACACTCGGGGTCTTCAGGTGAGGCATGCAAACTCTTAGTTACTTCATGTGGGATCTAGTTCCCTGACCAGGGATGGAATCTGGGTCCCCTACGCTGAGAGTGAGGAGTCTTAGCACTGAACCACCAGGGAAGCCCCAGAATGACTCCGTTTCGGTCAATGGATATAAGTTTGTAAGTGCAGGTGTTAAGTGCGAGCTCTATGGCGTGTCCCTCAAGGGAGTGTGGGTGTCCTCCTTCGGGCAGGAATGCAAACATCCATCTTACACACCGCCTACCTGCGTCTCTCATTTATATGGCCTCGCAGGCTCCCGTAAGCATTCAAGATTGTGACCCCTGACCCATCCCAATTCTCTCCATTCATTTGTGTATTCAACAAGCATGCCATGTTTACCAGCCCAAGGCATCTGCTGGAACTCAGGGTATGCTGGTGTACTTAGTCACTTCAGTCCTGTCAGACTCTTTGTGACCCCCTTGGACTGCAGCCCACCAGGTCCTCTGTCCAAGGGATTCTCCAGGCAAGAATACTGAAGTGGGTTGCCATGCCCTCCTCCAAGGGATATTCTCCACCCAGGGATCAAACTAGCATCTTCTATATCTCCTCCCTCTCCTGCATTGCAGGCAGATTCTTTACCACTGAGCCACAGGGGAAGCCCAAGGAACCCAGGGATGTGATGCTAAATAAACCAAACATGATTGTTCTCAAGCCTGTGGCATGGACCCTACGTATTTAATAACTCCATCACAACTGGAGAAGGGCTACAAAGGGAGACACACAGGGTGCTAGGGCAGCTTATCACAGGGAACCTTTCTTTCTTTGTTTAAAAAATATTTATTCGACTGTGTCGGGTCTTAGATGCAGTGTGTGGGCTCTTTTGGCACAGGGGCTGGCTCCAGAGCCCACAGGCTCAGGAGTTGCCCTACAGTATGTGGGGTCCTAGTTCCCCAGAACTCCTACATTGGAGGGCAGATTCCTAACCACTGGACCATCAGAGAAGTCCCGGGGAGCTTTATTTCAACCGGGGTGGGGGGCAGTTTGAGAAAAGCTTCCAGAAAGCATATTCCAGTAACCATGTGGGCCCTGGTAAAAGTGAAAGAAAATGCAATACAACAGAGGCCAAAATGAGACTGAAATTAATTTCTCCTCTGAAAGAAGCCTGGAGGTGGGTGACCCAGAGGTGAGGGATAGGGGTGGTGAGAAGCAAACCGACTCCAGCAGCAGGATCAGCTGTTTGTATCTTGCTCCACACCCTCATCCTCCACGTGACCCCTCCTCATAGTCTGAGAAGGATGCCAAGGCGCCCCAGCTGAATGAAGGTCCCCTTATGGTAAGATCTCCCAGAACACTGTGTAACTTCTCCCATGGAAGCAACTGGCCAAGTGAAATAATTATGAAATTCTTGTTTAGTATTTGTTGCACCGGCTTCCTCCCTGGTGGCTCAGATGATAAAGATGCCTGCAATGCAGGAGACCCAGGTTCAATCCCTGGGTTCAGTCCCAGGGTGGGGAAGATCCTCTGGAGAAGGACATGGCAACCCACTCCAGTATTCTTGCCTGTAGGATTCCACAGACAGAAGAGCCTGGTGGGCTACAGTCCATGGGGTTGCAAAGAGTCAGACACGACTGAGCGACTTTCACTTCACTTCATTTCAGTTCATTTCAGGGGCTGCAGGAGGACCTTGTCTGTCTTAGCACCCAGCACAGTGTCTTGGGCCTGGTAGACTGTTAATTCTTGTCGAATATATATATACATATATATATATATATATATTTTCTCTCTCTCTCTCTTTTTTTGCCATTCCACACATCATGTGGAGTCTTAGTTCCCTGGCCAGGAATCAGACCTATATCCCCTGCATGGAGTCCTAACCATTGGACCACCATGGAATGCCCTTTGAATACTTTCTTAGATATTAAATTTTATTGATATTGATCAGTATTAAATTTATGAGGGTAAATACACATCCCATTAAATTTACCATTTTAACCATTTTTACGTGTTCACTTCTGTGGGCATTAAAAACCTTCATGCTGTTATACAACCATACAACTGGCAACCATCTCCAAAACTTTCTAATCTCCCCCTACTGAAACTGTCCCCCTTAAACCTAACTCTCTGCTTCCCCCTCCCCCCAGCCCTGGGCTGTTGAATACTTTCTGAATGAATGCAGAGGGGCTGAAATAAGGGTCACAGACTTAAAGGTCTGTCAGAGCCTGCTGGCATTATAGCTGAGAAGAGCAGGCTGATAGGAACAGCAGAGAGGGGTGAGGACCGAGGTAAGCAGAGGCCCTGTCTCAGCTAATGAGGGCAGCCGCTAACCACACAGCTCCAGCTGAGCTGACAGTGGAGGTTCTGCCGGAATGTGATCCCAGAGTCTCCAGCCTCTGCCAGAATTTCAAGAGAAGGTGGAAAACCAGACATTTATGTAATATCTCCTCATTTTGATGTTGGCAACTAATTTTATGTTTTGTTCTAACACTGAATAAATCACCCAAAGCCTTCTAAGGGCTGGATGGAGCTCAAGG